TGCCCGCCAAATTGTTCACTGTTGGCATCTATTTCGTCGCGTGTGTGAAGCGCTGGGATAAAAAAATTTGGGCAGTAAAATTCGCACTAGAAGTGCACTAATTTGCATTATGCCCACAACGCTTAAGGTGGTGTAACAAACAGTAGCAAGGCGTCCATTAGAGCAGGCACGGCGCTGAATATAGCATCGAACAGAAATTAACTAACAAGTGCTGCACGAGGCGACAGCGCTCCAACTGATGTGTACTGTAAGGCCGGTGTATTCTTGCTGATAAACTCACTGGAACCTAATGAAGTGCGCCCTCCGTCCGCCACCACGATTCCCGGCTCAGAGCATACAATCTATGGATACTACTAAATTACATGATCTAAAAATCTATGATAGGCTTTGCTATACGCAGTAGTACAGTAAATAAAGATAGGCACCTGTGTAACTTTAATGACTTTCACTATAAATTAACATGTTTATCATGAGATGATGCGTGCGAGCGCCGAGCTTAGTGGTGGTGTTGAGGGAGGGGAGGTGATCCAATAGCAAAAGCATTCAGTCCTTTGTTAGGACAGTCATCAAATCCGTGTTTTACCCGCTCCGACGAAGACAGAGGGACCAAATGAAATGCTCATTGCAAATTTTAATGTTGCTATAAAGGTTACTTTGGGTCTCTATTCAGACATTGTAAAAGGAGAATGGAGGAACATAAGTTGTGAGGCTATGGCATATTAAAGCATAAAAGAAGTTTGGATGGTTTCTGGCGTGTGATAACAAATTATTAAAATTACCGTAATCTGTATCCCTTATCATATTCTCCTGTATTGCTACTGCTCTTGCACTTGAACAAGTGTCCGAGGAGCTTGAAAAAATGCAATATAATTAATATATGTATATGACTCATGACACGCAAAGAAAAGAATATTTTGTTGCCGGATTTACTAACATTATTATATTGTTATTTATCACTAAACAATATTACTAACTATTTGCAAAATTCTCATCAGCACCACGAGTTATCAATAGGTCCATGTATAAAATACATGACAAGAATAATTAGAAATGAGAAATTGCGCAAGACATTGGGGCTACAACAATTCATAGTGAAGTTCGAAAATGCCAAAAAGTTTATGCGTTTAGGTTTTGAGCATAAAAATTTAAGACGCCACATAAAATATAATATAACCAGGAAAGTATGTAGATGGTAGTTCTACATGGTAGCGCTGCACGCTCGTGTATCTTCTGCAGCAATCGCTAGCGTTGCAATAGGGGCTTCTTTTGCGTATGACAAAGAAAAATGAGATCGGTGGCGCTAGTGGCTGACATCATTGAAGCCATGCAGCTAAAACATAGAATTAAAAGAGGGGATATGGTCAGATGATTTCACCTAATGTAAACTTGGCCAAAAATGAAGAGGCTAAGTAACCATCTTTCGCTTTCTCGCATAACCTAGGTATGGAGATCTGCCCGGCCGAGATAGCCACCGAGATCAAATCCTGCGAGATACATTGGCAGAAAGCAGCGAGATGGGTTTTATCTCGCACTGCACTTTTTTACCAATGATTTTCGCTTAATTACTAAGGTAAAGGTCAACCTTTACAGGTTTTGGCCAATGCAATACTGCACAAAATTTATTAAATAAAAATAAATATTAATAAAATAATATATAAAAAATATATAAATAAAAAAAAAATTAATTTAATTTAAAAATTTAAAAAATTTATAATTTGCAAAAATAATTGAATTATCTAACTTGAACTGAAATGTTCTTTCTGCAATAAAAAGTAATAAAAAAATAAATTAAAAAAATAATGGCGAGAAAAGGTTGCTATCACAGTAAATGCAGCTTGAGATTGGAAATATCTGCACGCCTGGCATTACTAGATAACACGTCTCAATACGATCGCTACACTCGGTATGAGACGGGAATATCTATAACTCGCGGTGAGATATCCCAACTCAAGCTCATACTGTGATAGAACCTATTAGTCGCTGCTGTGTCATGTACAGTGCTCTATGTATTTAATAATATCTATTATAATAATATTGAGTGTGTCGTTCTGTTTGTTCCTGCATCACTTCTAGCGGCGTGCACAGAATCCGGCTGAAAATTTCGTGCTGCATTTCTAAAAGCGGGGCAAATACGTTGCGATTCTACACTTATTGCTTTTTGTCATCTTATTGGGTTTATATGTTCAAAAAAACCTATATTTAGAAAAATATAAATGAAAAATCTCAGCGACTGGATAAACATGCACTTCACTTCGCGCTAGGTGCGGCTGGCTGTAACTTACTAAACACCGCAAGCCACAGGCTAAAGGGATACAGTAGTCTGTCGCGTAACCTTGGCAGTGGAATTCGCCAGGGCACACGGAGCGCTAGCTTGGAATCAAGATCCTCGCCCACCTGCACGCTCGCCTGCTACGCCCGGCGCAATAATGCTATCTATCAATCTATCATTTTTTGCTACAGCTATCTTATGCTAATGCTAATGCAAGGGGCGCAACCAGCGTGTTGGAAGTTGGGGGTCGCAAGCAGCCAATAGCAACGTGATCTGGCGGGGCGAGCCAATATCACGTATTGGTTCAATATCACGTATATTTCAGCGTGTTGATGGAAGTGTTGCATAATTGTGATGTCATGAATGACATTACTAGTGTTGTACTGCGAAAGAGTGTAGATCTCCGTGTATGATGTACGCGTCGACAGCGTAGAGTAACAGCGTTGTCCCGTAGATAACCAGTAGAGAGGTTTAACAGCAGCGTAGAGAGCAGAGATAGCCACAGTAGACGTAGACGTAGACGTAGTCACGGATTAGTAGTTTCAAATAGACCTTTATTATTAACTACACATACAAATATATATATATACATAATACAGCCTATAGGCAACGATGCCTAGGCTCTCTGACTGACTACATAGTCTCTCTAAATCTTATATCTTGTGTCCTTTGCTTGTCAAATGCTGCCTATATATATGGGCTCAAAACCGGCTTTAGAAACTCGTCTGTCTAAAACCAGACCCTTGCTGGGAAGCAAGCGATGCCCGTTCGCAGGTGCAACCTATCCCTTGCACAAGGAGGATGTGGGAGACGCACCCGTCTATTGTCGTTTGCGCGTTCGTCAACCACTCCTATACATGTAGATGCTCTAGGTGTGACGTGCTTAGCGTCACGTCCGGTTACCACCGCTGTATATCATTTACAAAGGATTTTGTTGCAAAGTGGGACTCAAGGAAAGTCACATACTCACGTTTGGTTTCTAACACTGTTCTCTGTTTTCACGTGTCAGACATTTTTTGCATTATTATTTTTATCATTATTATTTTCCTCTTCATCTTAATGAAGAGTGTCTATGAATTTCATATACTGAACTCAGTAGTGCTCTTCTGCTGTTTCGAAAACATGATCTGACGCATCCCCAGTTTCAAATCTTCGTTGGCATCTGTTTACCCGAGGTAATTTGGGGGCTACCAAATCTAGTTCTTCACAGCATTCAATGCATGCATTGAAGAGGTCGTGAAATGTTTCCTCGCTTCTCATGCCTGACAAGCCTTCATACGTAATCTTCATAGCTGCCACAGCATTGGAGATTGTATAACTTCTGGACTGCATAGCCCTGTTCAAGCTTTCAAGCAAATTAATTGATGGAAGAGCTATCTTTAGACCCAGCACAAACTCAGCTTCTTTTATTTGCTTCAGAAGGCCTCTTGCTTTGGATGCTGGCTCTGCTGTGCTGGCATCTGCATAATCGGACAGTGCATCACTTAAGCTTTCATGCTGATCCAGAATGGTCTTAATGCAAAAAATGTCTGACACGTGAAAACAGAGAACAGTGTTAGAAACCAAATGTGACCTTCCTTGAGTCACACTTTAGAACAAAATCCTTCGCAATTGCTTCGATATCGATTCCATCTGTCATGTCTTGATGAACGTGCAAAACAGCAAGGTGGTTGAGTCTTGCCTGGGCCATTGAGTTTCGAAGATAAGTCTTCAGCCGACGCAGACCAGAAAAGCTGCTCTCTGCTTCTGCACTGCTACAGGGAATAGTAAGCAGAAGTCGCAGGAATGTGTCCACTTGATTAAACAGCTGGCGCACTACTGGCTCCATGCTTACAATCTCTGAAATAATGGTATCCAGTGTGAATGGATTGGCCTCTGTATCCGACATCATCAGCTGCCTGACCATAGCAAGTTGGGTATGTAACATACTCCCATCAAGCTCTGGATACTGCTTTACAACATCCACAACACAGGAGACACTGATGGCAGGCTGTGATGGGTTACAGGATCTCAATATAACATCTTCCAGTTTGAGGTACATTTGAATTCCTGGCTGGTCATATCTTCTTTTCAAGGCAGCCATGGCAGTGTCTATGAATTTCATATACTGAACTCGGTAGTGCTCTTCTGCTGTTTCGAAAACATGATCTGGCGCATCCCCAGTTTCAAATCTTCGTGGGCGTCTGTGTACCCGAGGTAATTTGGGTGCCTCCAAATCTAGTTCTTCACAGCGTTCAATGCATGCATTGAAGAGGTCGTGAAACGTTTCCTCGCTTCTCATGCCTGACAAGCCTTCATACGTAATCTTCATAGCTGCCACAGCATTGGAGATTGTATAGCTTCGGGACTGCATAGCTCTGTTCAAGCTTTCAAGCAAATTAATTGCTGGAAGAGCCATCTTTAGACCCAGCACAAACTCAGCTTCTTTTATTTGCTTCTGAAGGCCTCTTGCTTTGGATGCTGGCTCTCCTGTGCTGGCATCTGCATAATCGGACAGTGCATCACTTAAGCTTTCATGCTGATCCAGAATGGTCTTTAAAGCAGCTCCTCTAACTAGAACTCTTGTTGGGCACAGTGGACGCAGGCTGGCACGGTCGTGCTTCTGTGACTGAATGCCCCGGAGAATGGCGGTTAATTTGGTTGATCGGTTGCAGGTAGCAGCAACTTCATTTGTCAATGATGCCGCATCTTGGACAACACCAGAGGATTCTATCGCTTCTTGAGCTACGAGGTTCCCTGCGTGCATCAGACAATGCACATAAATGGCCAATGGTTGTTGACTAGCAATCAAAGCCTGTGTGCCGTTGAATTTGCCACTCATGCTGCTGGCCCAATCATATGTTTGTCCACGTAAAGTTGACAGTGGTAGGTTGAGACGAATCAATACATCAAGTAGCATGGCTGATAGTGCTTCCCCTGTTGTGCCACTGTTCTGTGCAAAAAAAAAAATACTTCATGGGGCACAAGATCAGCATCAGTGTAACGCACAACAATTGATTATTGCTCTTGTACAGTGATATCTGNAGAGAGAGAGAGAGAGAGAGAGAAGAGAGAGAGAGAGAGAGAGAGAGAGAGAGAGAGAAGAGAGAGAGAGAGAGATGACAGAGCGGGTAAATCAAGCGAGAGGCGGGCGACACTATAGGGTTAAGTTGGCTGAAAAAATATCGACGATACATAGAATATGCGAATGACAGAGTGAGTGATAGAGAGGGTGGGTAGAGTGAAGTGGCAGTTAGAGAGGGAGGGTGAGAGGGAGAGAGGGAGGAAGGGAGATAGAGTGTAATAGATTGACGGGAAGCCAGTTAGAACAAGATCGAGATAAGAAGGAAGATAGTGGAAAGCGACTGATGTAAGAACAAGGGGTGAGAGAGATGGAGATAGTTGAATAGATTGGGAAGACAAGGAAAATTAACAGGCAAAAGACAGGAAGAGAGAAATATAAAGAAAGAATGCGTATGTAATATAAAGCAATGGAACCAGCCAGAATGAGTGAAGTAGAGAGAAAGAGAAAAAAAGAGCGAGAGATTGCGATAGACAGAACGAGAACGGGAAAGAGAGCAAGCAAGAGAGGGATTGCGAGAGTAAGGGCGAGGAGGAGAAAGACGGAACGATAAAAAGATATATATATATATACATACAGAGAGAGAGAGATAGAGAGAAAAAGAGAGCGCGAGAGCGAAAGAGAGAAAGAGAGAGAGAGAGAGAGGAAGAGAGGAGAAGAAAGATAGAGGAGAGGAGAGAGGGAGAGAGAGAGAGAGAGAGAGAGAGAGAAGAGAGAGAGAGAGAGAGAGAGTAG